TACTGCAGATAGAGAGAGAACACTGATTAGCCCTTGGTCATACAGTCACCACATGCAATACAGGGCATCCAGTTAAGTCTGCCTTTAGTGCAATGATGTCCCAAATTGCATGCTTATACTAAACATATATGTATACTACATTAAAGAATGATGAGAAGGCTCAGTTGGTAAAGTATTTAGTGAGCAAACATAAGGACCCGAGTTTGATCCCTAGCACCCATGTAAAAGTTGGATGCAGTAGCATAGGTCTATAATCCCAATACTGGGGAGACAGAAACTAGAGCATCCCTGGGGCTTGCTGCCCAGCCAGTCTGGCTGAAACAGTGAGTTCCAGGTTCAGTGAGAGACCCTGTCTCAAAAATTAAGGTGGAGAGCAATGGAGGAAGGCAACAATATCAACCTTCAGCCTCCACACACACACACACACACACACACACGCACACACACACGCACACACAATGATTTCCTGTTTATCTTAAATCCAAATTTAACTAAGCAACCTGATTTGGTATTTTAGGGATGTAGGGAAAAATCCAGTTACATACCATTTACCCCATTTGGAGCTTCAGCTATCCAATAAAGTCACCAACCAGAAAATCGCTGCTCATTAAAATTGATCTCAGTAAGATGGTGATTAACACAGAGACCCACAAATGGTCAACGTGCAGAGAATAAGAGACTGTGGAATGTTCAGTCATGAATGGGAAACCTATACTGCATACTCTCCTCCCAAGGCTTGGGGATCATTGTAGTAGAGAGGGCTGAAAGATTCTAAGAGCCAGAGGTAGAAGATGAATGCAAAGAAACTGTTGTCTGGACCCCACAGGGCATTTGCATACATGAACTGATAACACATGTGACAGCATGCACAAGACTTACAAACCCAACCCAGGCAGGGGCCCAGCATGGATGGGGGAGGTGGGCAGGAAGCTCCAGCCTAGCTGAGGATCTATTGGCAATTAATAGATGTGGAGAAGAGTAGAGTCAGTTTCCTGGTGTGATGCCTGGTAGGTTGACCAGATTTCAAGGGATGGACCCACATACAGAAACACAGATTAAACTTGAGAGACCTTAAAAAAAAAAAAAAGACAAATAATAATAGAGGACATGAAGTCGGGGAGAGGGTAGGTGGGATTACAAAGGGGGAGGACATCTGAATAGAATCAAAATACATCATATGAAATTCTTGAATCAATACAATATTAAAGTAAAAACAATCACAAACTTTAGGAACTATACCCAGAGAGCAATAAAATGTATGTGCACATTCAACCCTCTTAAAAAATTAGCTCAGTCAAATCTTTGTTTTTTCAGGTTTTTTTGTTTTGTTTGTCTTTTTGAGTCAGGGTCTCCCTGCAGCCCCAGCTGTCCTGGAACTCACTATGTAGACCAGGCTGGCCTTGAACTCACAGAGATCTGCTTGCCTCTGCCTCCCAAGTGCTGGGATTAAAGGCATGCACCACCACACCCGGCTTATCAGTCAAATCTTTGTAAAGAAAGGTTGCATCAAGCTGTAAATTACCTATCAGCTGCATATACTGTGTGTGTGTATGTGCTGCATATGCATGTATGCAGGTCATAAAAAAATCCATTCAACTCCTAAGACCTCCAAAATGCAAACAACAAAGTCAGAGATGATAGAGACTACCTCAAACTGAAAAGTCTGCCAACAAAAGAAAGCAATCAGCAGAGTAAAGATGCAACCTACGGAACGGGAGAATATATTTGTAATAGATTTGATAATATCCAAAATGTATTTAAAAACTTACCTAACTCAGTAGCAAAAATAAAGAAAACCCAGCAACCCAATTTTAAATTAAGTAAAATTTCTAAACACAGATGTTTCAAAAGAAAACAAATGATGGTTAATGTATATATGAAGAAAGAACTGACATAACTAATCACTGGGGAAATGTATGTCAAAACCTCAAAATACTACCTCGCACTAGTTAGAATGGCAACTGCCAAAAGGAGAAAAGAGAAAAAGCAATGGTGAGCTCACTCCCACACCAGGGATCGAACACAGGGTCCCATACATGCTAGGACCCTATCACTGAGCTCCACTCCTAGTCAGAAAAAAAATATTTATTGTGGGTGAGAATGGAAATTACTCTGCTATTGTGAAAACAATATAGAGATGACTTTAAAATTTTAAAAGAAGTACCATATACGATCCAGCAATCCCAGTACTGGGTACATACCCAAAGGAAATGAAATACATGTTTAAGAGATGCCTGAATGCCTATGCTTTCTCGGTGCTATTCATAACTCCCAAAAGATGGAAACAATCTAGCTACTCATCAATGAGTAAATGAATACAGGCAATGTGGAATATATACATGATGGAATATTATTTAACTGTAAAAAACGATGATAGGCATGGTGGTGCATGCTGATAATCCTAACACCCAGGAGGCTAGACAAGAGGATTGCCATGAGATAGAGGCCAGGCAGGCCTACATAAAGAAATCCTGTCTCAAACAGCAGAAAGGAGGGGAGGGAAGGAGAGAACGATGGAAAAATGGAAAAACACTGGACAGTTTCACTGATATGTGGGACGTAAAAAGTTGCTAATAAAGTACAGCAGTGGATACCAAATGCTGGGTAGGAGGCAGCAGTCATACAGCCTGGCCAAAGAGTACAAAGTTTCAATTAGAGAGAAGCAAGGAGTGGTGGTGCTCTATTAAACAGCAGGGCAACTACAGTTAACAATGTTTCCTTGAAAATAGGAAGAAAGCGTTTCTTAATATTTTCATCTCAAAAACATGTGTTTAAGGTAATGGGTATGCCAATCATAGAGATCATTACATAATATATATGTTGAAGCTTAGCATTGTAGCCTATTACAATGTATACTCACTATTCACTTACATCTACTATGTATTGGTCAAAAACAAAACAGTCCTTGGGACTGGAGAGATGGCTGAGCAGTTAAGAGGACTGGCTGTTCTCACAGAAGACACAGTTGCGAATCCCAGCACCCACATGATGGCTAACAACCATCCATAACTCCAGTTCCAGAGGATCTGACACCCTGTTCTGTTCTCCACAGGCATTACATGTCATGGTTACACTTAAATACATGCAGGTAAAATACTCATACAATAAAATAAAAAATAAAGCAAAATAAACAAACAAAAAATGGCCCCAAACCCATCCAACTCCTGAATGTGCTGCAGGGGTGAGAGAGGCATTTACATCTCATGACAATGAAGGTCAACACAGTCATTTCATAAATGTTCTGACATTCGCATCCATATCCCCTACTATTGCTTTAACACAGGTGAAGCCATGGCTGTGGCACAGTGGAACTGCCTTTAAGTCACGCCACCGCCCTGGGTTTGCCCCTCATTACTTGGGACACAGTTTGGGTCTCCTTTATCCTCTCCAAACTCCTGTGATACTTAACCTGGTTTTCCTGATTATTCTGGTCTGGTAGTTCCCAACCCTGACTATACATATTACACATTAGAATTACTAAGAGAGGGGCTTTTTTTTAATGTAGTGCTGGGGGTGGAACTGAGTTTCATGCATGCTAGGCAAGCACCTTGTCATTGAACTACATTCCAGATCATCAGGAAAGATCTAAACATTCAAAAAAATAAAAAACAAAACATGTGTGGGTCATGATGATGCCTATAGCTCTCAGACAACCCAAGTAGGAGGATCCTGAGTTCCAAGCCAACCTGAGCCACAAAAGTCTGGAGCTCCGTAGTGAGACTCCGCCTCAAAACCAAGAATGAATGAATTAAAACAAAAAAAAAAAAACAAAAAAAAAAAAAAAAAAAAAAAAAAAAAAAACAAGTAAACCAAAAGCCAAGACCTAGGTCCCACCCAGACCAATTGAATCAGAATCTCTCTTGGTGCCAACCTGGACATCAGGGCTCCTGGAGACCCTAATAGACAGAGGACCATTGCTCTGCCCTTCAGGCTCATCTGTACCATGCGAAGCTCCTGAGATAGGGTTCCTGCTAAATAAGCAATAAGTATCAATACGTTTGCCTCTCAGAGAAGGGTCCAATTTTCCAATTTACACTGAACAGCCTCAAGGAACCCCTTAGACTTGCTAGGCTCTTAAGCTCTATCCAGGTGGTTGTCTGCAAACATCCTCAACTCAGTCCCCTGCTGGAGCTGTGCTTCCCGGAACGGATGGTCTCCTCCACCCAGCAGTTGCAGTGCCCCATTGTCAAATGTTTCCTCCTTCCTCCAGATTACATTCCCAGGATGCCATCTTTCCTTTTTAACCCTATAATAATTTCTATTTTACCTGTTCTGAGCTGGCCAGATCTTTTCTCTTCTCTCCTGTATTAGAATGGACTTCCTTAGGGTCTTAGTCTCCCTTAGGAGCGGGGGGGGGCGGGGAGGACAGGGGACGACGGGACGGACACGACCACACCTGCTGCACAGTAGGTATTCAGGACTCTTTTGAAAAAGGCTGATAAAATTTGAAGCTGTTACTTAGAAAGCATGAGGTCTACGTAGGTTTTCATTGTAGTTAAAATCTGACAGACACTTGCTGCACCGCTGCCTGGCTCCAGGGACCCTGGAGAACAAATACGGAAATGATGCAAGAGCAGTGGCTAACTCAAGAGTCTTTGATCTCTAGCTCCAAGACTGCTGAGCGCAGAAGTTTCTCCAACTACTACGCAGCAAAGGGATGGGCTCTGGCAACACTGGGAAGAAAAACCAGTGTCCTGAAACAAAACTGTATAATTAGAGCTTCAAGCATGAGCAATGGTTTTGTTTTCCTGCTAAGGCACTGGGTTTGCCCTTGAGTAATTTGCAAAGCTCTCACTTGTCAGCCTAGCACGCCAGCAAAGGCTTAGAAACTTTTCGGAAAAAGTCCAGGTCGCGGTGGCGGTGGGCTGGACCAGCTAGATGGGACACCCGGCCCACCCCGGGGCTACAGAAGGGCTCACATCCACCGCCCGTGCGGGCTCGCTCAGCTCGGGCCACCCGGGCCTGGGGACCCACGACCCGGGGCTCTCGGGGGTACCTACCTGAGCGCCAGGAACCTCTCGCCCAGCAGCGCCAGCGCGATGCCCATCAGGCTCAACCCCACCAGCCGCCCCATGGCGCGGGACCTGCCCGCCTCCTCGCTCGGGCCTGGCCGGGCTGCGGCGGACTCAGCGCCAGGGATCAGCCAGGCCGGTGCCCCGCCCTGGCTCTACCCCGCCCCGGCTCTACCCGCCGCCCCGGCTCCGCCCCGCGCTCACCCGGTGCTCAACCCCACTAGTCCACAAGGGAACCAAACTGAACTTCAGTCCTCCCCCTACAAAGAGCCCATCAAAGTCCCTCAGCTGCACCCTCTCGTCTCCTAGTCTCCCTAAAACACTTTGCGGTAACCTCTGTAGAGTTTTCTTGTTTTAGTTTGATTTTGGTTTGGTTTGGGAGGATTTTTCTTTTCTTGGAGGTATTCAGGATCAAACCTAGGACTTTGTACATATTAAATAAATGATCAACTACTGAGTCACATCTCCAGACGTTGTTGTTGTTTGGATTTTTATTTAATATATATTGTTTTTTAAATTAGTATTTTTTGTTTGTTTATGTCATTTTTGAGATAGGATTGTTTGTAGTCTGGGCTGGCAGTGAACGCCTGATCCACTTGCCTCCACCTCCCAACTGCCTGTGATTATGATTACAAACATGGGCCACCATGGCCCTACCTACAGTAATGTTTTAAATATCCTTTTTATTAAAATTAGGAAAAATCGTTCTTAGACAGGTCTTGTAAATAAATCAGATTTGAATCACATAATTTTCTCTGACTTCATGTAGACTAGAAGAAACATGGGAACTTAGAACCCAAACTCATTGGAATAATTGTCAATTTTCTTTTACCTTCCCCCCCCCTTTTTTTTTTTAAATACTCATATCTCCTTGTGTTTTAAAACTCACAAAGAAAGTAAACATATAAAAAGGGACTTTATTAAGATTGGGACAGCTATTGTAAGTGTAGTCACTGATGATGCTTCTAATGGTTTCCAGTGTTTACTACCTACAATACATAGGCAGAAATTAAAATTAGTTTAAAAAAAATTAAGTATATTTTTATTGAATTTTTGTGCTGACCCTGAACCTGAGACCTTCCTGAATCAGCCTCATGAAGACTACAGGCATGTATCACCACATCAGGCCAAACTTCAGTTCTATAACCAACCATTAAAGAAAAGTAGATGCCAGTTTGTATCCAGGCCCCTCACCAATAGGAAAAGAAAAAGACCTTTCTGCCTCTGTGTACCTGTAATTAGTCCCAACAGACGCTGGATTGTATCCCATGGCCAACAGAGAGCCGAACAGTTATCCTTTGAAAGTTCCAGAGGCTTTGTCTTTTGGGCCTGCTCCTCTATAAATACCTGCACAAAATAATGTTTGTCAGCACTCACAATAAGATGCATGGGATTGCAAAGGAAACCAATCACATCAAAATGTGATTATCAAAGTATTTTAAAAATTTTATTTATTTTTATCTTAGGTGTATGAGTGTTGTACCTGCATATATAAGTGCACCCATGTCATGCAATGCCCATGAAGGACAGAGGAGGACTTCAGATCCCCTGGAACCAGAGTTCTGAATGGTTGTTAGCTGTCATGTGGGTGCTGGGACTTGAACCCAGTTCTTCTGCAAGAGAAATCAGTGCTCTTAACACCTGAGCTATCTCTCTAGTCCCCACAGTATTTTTAAAATGAGTTTGTGATACAGTAATATAGCCATGTTGTGTCCTGCACAACTCAGCATGGGAACTGGACCCGTGCTCTTAAGGCACCCGTAAGATCTAGAAGCATCCTTTCAAATGATGGGAAAAGGCCAGCCTTGGGGACTATGATTGGAATCCTACCATGAGGCTGTGGCTGAGGCAGGAGGATCCTGGCTTTGAAACCATTCTGGACTACACTGGAAGACTCTTAAAAAAATCAAATAAGGATGAACATGTTGTTAGATACTTGTAGCAACTATATTGAAATATGAAGTTGTTTCTTCCTTTGGTAGCAAGCCTTTATAAGTACTTTCCTACTTTCATAATTGAAGGAAATGTGAAATTTCTTTTAAAATCAAGGGTATTTTTCCTTCATCCAAAATTTTCAATAGATCTGAACTTCCTTCCTTCCTTCCTTCCTTCCTTCCTTCCTTCCTTCCTTCCTTTTTTTCAAAAAGGGTTTCACTATGTAGCTCAGACTGGGTTCCTGGAACCTAGGGCTTTTTGCATGCTACACTAGCACGCTGCCTCTAAGCTACGGCCCTAGATCCCTCTAAATTATTAATGGGTTACTTGGGTTAAGAAATCTGGCATAAGTAAGACTGTAACTGGATACACAGGGGTGGGAGTCCCTCATCTGTAACATCAATCGTTAGGCCAGAAGAGCCTCACAAATACAATCAGAATTTAGAAGACAGGCCCAAAACAAGGACGTGGTTTATTACCTAGGGCGCCCCCATTCTAGGCCTGAGGGTTTGTTCCTGAGTAGTCAGGGAGGCATGTAAAAGTATGCCCCTTGGACTATCAGGCAAGAACCAGGCAATGTCACCTTCCCAAATGTCATAGAATGAAGAAAGTGCAGATTGCAGAGATTTATTTAATTTTGTGCTATCCTCAATGTCTGTGTTCCTTCTATTATTTCTAGGGGTTTTTGTTGTTGCTTTTATTTATGATCGTGTTTTTTAGTCACCTTCATGATTTAGGCTGATTTCACCTGCAGTGAAAGTGTTGGCAGTCTGCCTCCTTCAGGCAGGACTCAGCAAAAAAAAAAAAATCTTAGATCTTGTCCTGACATCCCCTTCTTCCCCTCAACAACAGCAGACTCCATTAAGTAGATCATCACCAAGCCGAGACTTGTCCTCACAATGTTTCCAAACAGCAGCTGGGAAACAAGAGTCCACTGGCTGACTTCAGTCAACATGAAGGCGGTTGGCTGTCTTGGCACTTTGAAGTTGAGTATGGAAGCAGAGAAGTGTTTATAATAAAGAAACAGTGCTCCGGTGGCCACCTACACCTAACTTTGCTCTCAGGGAATCTGAGAAAAACCTAGCTTTATTTATTTTGTTACGATTTATTTTATTTTTATTAATCTGTATGTTCGTATGTGCCCATGTGCAGGTGCCTAAGTGTGGAAATGACTTTTCTAAAATGGACATAATCTAGACTAATGACTTTTAATTAACTCCAACAAAACCACGTGTTCTATGCTTTACAAGCAGGTGCTTGTGTTTTGTGGCCTGGACACCTATCTGATCTTCTTTCCTGGGAACCTCAATTTGGTACTCCACCCAAAAAGATAATGAATGAATGTGAGCGTGCTTGAGGATGAAAGCACTGAAAGATGGTGTGCGCTTCTTCATTATACATAGTGACAATCGGGAAAGATGGGTGACCTTAGGTGTATAAGATATTCTAGAACTAGGGATAAAAAGGCAAGGTGGTCTGTTAGGATAAGGATGGAGCCAAACTTGTATTTCCTCAATTGAAGTTGGAGAAACCATTTCAAATAAAATCATGAGTGAGACGGAACTCAAGGACAAAGTTACAGGAATAGAGTTCCAAAGGCATTTCCATCAGCACAGTACCAGGAGACAGTTCCAAGAGCTATCTGAGGGAAAGAGTATCCTCTGAGTTCAGGTCTACTCCCAAGCTAAATTCAAGAGTCAGGCTTTTTGTTCAGATAATTGTAATCTTGGCATAGTAAGGTCACACCCAAGGAGACCAAAAGAGGGGATCAGAGTCCCTAGAGCTGGAGTTACAGATCATTGTGAGCCACAGATGTGGGTGCTGGGAACTCTAGAGGTCTTCACACTTTCTCTTTCTGGATGAGTTGAAGCTGGTTCTGTTGAAAAGTTCCTGTTTATTGTTAGAGTATCAAAAACAAAACAAAACAAAACAAACAAACCCAGAAGATAAACTGGTCAAAAAATAAAATCTCTTGTCTATCTGCTGGAAGACCCATGTTTCCAGTTTCACTGGTCAATCACCTGGTCATAGAACCACCCCTCTGAAGGCAGGTTCACCTTAAATTGTGCTGAAGAGGTGGGTGGATTACCTAATGCGCTAAGGAGATTGTGAGCGTTTCCTGCTTGGAATCCTGCCTCCTAGTGCAGTGCTTCTAGACCTGGCCACAGACACTCTTGTGTGTTAGCATGTCCCTGTAAGTCTACCCAGTTTTCTGAATTCTTCAGAAAATCCTATATCCTTTCTTCTTCTTCATATTCCATTTCAAAGCATGTTTTCTCTAATACTTTGGCTGCCCCAGCATCTTGGATTTCTTTACTTTTTCTCTAAAGCTTCCTTCTTCCCGCCATGTGGCTGCCAGTCTTCCACGTGGGCTCTAAACCAACATGGTTTCATGGCTTTTTTCCTTCTCCCCTCCATTCTCTGCCTCTAGGCAGATGCTGCCATTTATAGTTTGCCTGCCCTGAGAATTTTTCTTTAAATTCTAAAAAAGTTGTCCCAAAGCTTCCGTTTGCATCCATTCTTCAATTCTTTTGTAAATGAGACTAAGCACGTCTAGGTTTCTCCCCTATATCATAATTATTCACCATTAGGCTAACAACCATCATTTCTCATAAGAAAGGTATTTTCTGATTTGGACAATAGCCCATCTTCTTCAGAATATCATATTAATTATTGGATTTTATTTATATCTTAACTATCTTTCCAGATAGCTGGGATTTATAGGCAATACCAAGAATGGAACCCTGGTTTTGTGTGGTTTCCTAGGAAAAGTAGTTTTTGACTACCAAAACAAATGTTCTTAGGAACCTGCTGGGACACTGACAATTAACGTCGTAAGAAACTGTTTCTCAATGAAGTGATCAGTCTATAATTAGAAATTCACGTGTTCTTAAGCAATATTTCAGAAACTAACAGCTTTTATCAATGCTTCCCAGGCTCGATGTAGTAAAGGACAGGTTTTTCTTTGCCTTTGTAAAATACAATGGAAATGAATTACTGGAAAATGAAGTAAAATCTCAGACATCTAAAATATAAGCCTCAATCTTTTATTATTTGATTCAGCAGACATAAAATTACTTTGTCGCATTTCCGTAACAGTCTCTAAATGTTTACTCTCAGTTTTTCATGCGTATCTCACCATGGACCAGAAACAATGTGTTTACAGACAACAATGGTCCAGGCAGCACACTGCCCATCACAATGGAACTTAGAACTTTCTGCC